CAGCCCTGGGCACATACACTACCAGCTTAGCATCCATACAGAAAGAAAGTAAAATGCAGATTCTGATTCAGTGGATCTGGGACAGGACCCCAGCTCTGCATTTCTGATAAGGTCCCTTGTGCTGTCATTGCTTTGAATACTAGGGTTTCAAACCAGAATTGGTGCATCGGAATCTCTTGCAAGACTTACTAAAAATGCAGGTTTTTGGCCCCATCCCAGAGTTTCTGGATCCAACTCTCTGGTTATGGGTCTGGAGGTTTTTGTTTTTAACAGGCTCCCAGGTTTTTCTGATATTTAGTATGTTTGACAACTATACTCTAGTATGTATTGACCTACATAACTTACTCTTGAAGAACCCAGGAAGAGAATCTGAGACTCAACAAATTGCATTGCTGGAGGGGGGTTTGGAGATCATCTAGCTTACCCTGGTTGATGAGAAAATGGAGGTCCCAAAGGGCAAACAATTCTGCCAAGTGTCTATCACCAACTGGCTTTACAGCAAGCAGATACCAGAATGAAAGCGTCTGACTTTCTAATCCTCGGTTTCCCCTAAAATACAATTGGCCTGTGTTTGTCATTGCTTCTCTATCTGTGCTGCTTATGAGGTCAGACACCTTGTTTTCTGCTGTATTCCCAAAGCCCAGCACAGTGCCAGGCACAGGGAAGGCACTAAGTAAGTATTATGTTATGTACTCCTGCTATGCTTGGGCCTAATCAGTTACTTCCAAAATTTCTTATTAAAAGTTCTCGTTATAAAAATAAAAATTCTACAGCTCAGGAAAAGCAGGGAAATTTTTTTTTGATGTGAAAAATGTACGTTCCAAAGTAAAAATAGCAAATTTCTTTTAAGAGTCTGAACATATAGTAGGAAACATTAAGAACGTGATCTATGGGAGGAAAAGGGGATGACTCTAGAATATAGCTCTGGCTCCAATATTTGTTAGTGTGTAAATTTTGCTCAGCTACTCTGAGTCTTGGTTTCCTCAGGTGTAAATTGGAGACATCAGTAGATTCTATGTCATGGGATTTTATGAATATTTAACTGGTAAATGTAAAATGTTTAACATGGTGCCTGGTACATAGTAAGTGCTTAATCCAGCAATTGTCCTGTTGATTACAAAAGCAAGATAATGGCCAGGCATGGTGGCTCACGCCTGTAATCTCAGCACTTTGGGAGGCTGAGGCGAGTTGATCGCCTGAGGTCAGGAGTTCAAGAACAACCTGGCCAACATGGTGAAACCCTGTCTCTACTAAAAATACAAAAATTAGCCAGGTGTGGTGGTGGGCACCTGTAATCCCAGCTTCTTGGGAGGCTCAGGCTGGAGAATCACTTGAACCCAGGAGGCAGAGGTTGCAGTGAGCCGAGATCATGCCACTTTACTCTAGCCTGGGCAACTGAGCGAGGCTCCATCTCCAAAATAATAATAATAATAATAATAATAATAATAATAATAATAATAATAATGGTTCCATCAGTTATACCAGAAGCTAAAGTATTATGCTCCCCTTGCCAACTGCCTACCCATAAGAACTGAAGATGGATCATCTCTGAAGTGGTCATGTACAATATATAGACCATAGGATGGCAGTGAACAAATGTGGCTTTGCGCTGCTTCTTACGAGTACCTTTCTAAGGCATAGCAAGGCACAGCGTGTCACCTCTACAGGGTCAAGTGATTATTGAGATTCTGAGGAACCAAGTTACTGAGCTGAGTCACTCCTAAATAGCCAAGATGGCAGGAGGGCTGAATTGTACACCTGGGACTCTTTGCAGGGTCCAAACATTGGCTAGCTAGCTTAGAGGTGGGGCAAGGGCTCCTTGAGCAATGTGTTTCACTCTGTAGCCAGAGAGTATCAGCAAGATATTTTTAGCCCAATTACTAAATGGAGAAATGTGAGTTTGAAATGCATGCCTCAGGAGTTCACTCGGGTAATGAGACTGTGTGATTATGACTCTCAGGATGTGTATTTCCTTCACATGTCCCGGATTTTCAGAATAGTTTTGATTTTCAAACATTCTGTTCCATCATTCTATTAGTAAAATTCTGTTCGAGCAGATATTCTGATTCTATAGGGAAATGGTTGGGAAAATATGGTCGCTGTAGACCAAGACAGAGATCCCATTAAAGACTTGCTTGAGGAAAAATTGTCACATCCTATAAATAGGTATGTCTTCCCCTTTACCTCAATGATGAGTCAGATTATGTTTCACTTGCAAGTGACAGAAACTAACTTCAACTGGGTTTGGCAAAAAGGGAATTTACCAGCCTTGTGACTGACAAGTCCAGGGGATGCATGGCTGGCTGGATGCAGACTCCTGAACAGTGATCCAACCGACCTGCCCCTTTTCACCTCTTCACTCCTTCCTCTGCATTGGTTTCATTCTCAAGCAGATTCCTTTTGGGATGTCCCCAGCAGCCCTGGGGTCATATCCTGCCAGCTTAGCTTCCACAGTGAATGAAAGTGACTTTCTAAATTATCTCATCAAAAGCTCCAAAAATTCCCTCTGGCTGGACCCAGGTCATTTGTCCCTCCCACCCCCACCAGTCGAGGGAATGGTTTCTGCAACACCTTAAACATATAACCAAGAAGATTCCCCAAAGGACACCGAAGTTTCGCTATCAAAACAGGGACAGCATGAACACTGGGTAGGCAAATGTAATAAATGGTCTTACATCCTTTTCCCCTGAGTTGGGATTCTGCTTCCCACTATTTCTTTATGCTTAGTTGTTCTAGAATAAAGTTCCTCCACACACCATTGTCATCTACCTGCAAGAGATCTACACAAATGATGTTCATTTGGCCTCCCTTAAATTTTTCTGTCTGTGCCACCGGAACCTCAGTGAGGGCTTGGTTCTGCCTGTTGACTGTCTCTCCCCTCATGTAAGATGTTCTTTTGCACTGGCTTCCTTTTGCCTCCCCAGTCTCCATAAAAGTTTGTTACTAAACCCCCACAATCCTCTTCTAACTGTGGAAGGAAGGAAGATGCCCATAGCTGCAGCCATCTGGGAAGAGATGCTTTTAGGATTTCACAGGGGAAGAAACAGATACAATTTTGCTACCGTATGCAGTATCTCTGGCAAACTGCAGAATGGGCCTACTGTTCCTCTTAGCTCACCAGAGCAAGTGCTCCCCAAATGATTTGCCCGGATCCAACTTGCAAATTGTATTGAGAGAGCTAATTAGGTCTGAGCTGGCAAATGAGAACTCTGCTACCTTTGTGTGGAACAATTTGCTTTATTACATGAGAGGTGATGTGTATATGTTATATACTTAGCACGTTAAGATTCACAGTTACACAGATGGTGGAAAAACTCCAAGACTGCCCCAGTGCTTAACATGTAGCTGAATGTCAAAAGGTTTCAACAGGGTTTCAGAGAGCAAAACAGGGACATTTTTATAAAATATACTTTTCTACCCAGCATAGCACATCAGAGCTTCCTGTGGGATGGATTAAAAAGAGCCAACCTTTATGGACTACTTGTTGTGTCAGATATTAGGCAGAACCCACTCACTTCTCTAAAGCCACTATAGGGAAGGTACTATTATTATTCTTGTTTTTCGATTAAGGAAACTGACGTGCTGTGAGGTTAACTGAAAGTTGGACTGTGAGGAAGATTTAGGCCATCAGACTCTGGACCCCAAGCTCTAACATACTATGTAGGTCTGATACAATGATCATCTCTATTTAGAGATGATCCGTGGTTACCTACTGTTTTTTTAATTTGATTTTTATTAAATATTTATTGTATGCCTTCTCTAAGATAGATATTAGATGTGTTCAATGCTCTGAAAATTTTTGAGAGGTAAGTCCCAGGTAGCACTTGAGATAAAAAGCAATAACTAAAATCTATTGAATACTTACTAAGTATCATGCTTGTGGTAAGCACTTTACAGTTTTTCATTCTCTCATGTATTCAATCCTCCTACAACCTTTCTTACACACTCCCCCCATTTTAGATTAAGGAAACCAAGGCTCAGAGAGGAGAGAAAACTTGCTGAAGGCACCCAGTGAGTAAATGGCAGAGCTGGGAATTGAACCCAAATATTTTGGCACCATAGCCTTTGCTTTTGACTTCTGTTCCACTCCACACCACACCACACCAACCACATCCTACTGGCCATTGGCAAGACCAGTGATGCCTTGTAGAAACCAATCAGTTTTCCGCTCACTATTCCTCAATCATCACACAAGAGTATTTTTCCTTTTTTTCTATTTTATTTTATATTTTTTTTTTGGTAAGCCATCACCTAGCAAAACTTTAAGTGGTAGGTGGTAGGTATTTCATTTTTAAATTCAGTTGCAAAAGGAAAATTTTTCAAAGAATGAGATTTTGTTGCTGAGGAAAGTGACAGAATGCTACACTATCAGTTCATTTAACAAATTTCCCAAAAGGTTGCCAGTGCCAGGCTCTGTGCCAGGCGTTGGGATGCATGTTAAGACACAGGCAGTACTACAAGAATAAATACAGTTTGGTGTTGAGTTTTAAAGCAGAGAGAGGGCCAAGGTGCCTTAGAGGCCTGTTCTGATCTACCCACGACAGCCAGAAAACTGGGTCACCTGTAGCAGGTAATGGAAGGCATGCTATCTTGTCAAAGGGATCACATTTTTCAAAGTTGTATGCTTAGACTACGAATAACTGTGGTTGCAAAATTTTAAAAATATAGCCTATCAGAGATTTAAACAAGTAATGGGTTAACTAGGCAGTCGACAGCATTGGTTCAGTTGCTCCACAGTATCACCAGGTCCCTTCCATCCTGTCTACTCTAAATTCAGCTGTTGGTTTTTCACAGTGATGTGTTTTACCTCATCATCTCAAGATGGGCGCTGTAGCTCCAAACAACATCAAGGCAGGAAGTGGGCAACAGAGTGGTATTGAAAAAGATCTTTTCCTGTAGGGGCATTCTCCTTTTTATTAACAAAGATAAAAGCTTTTTCCATCCCAGAAGACTTCCTTCCCATCTCATTGGGCAGAACTGAGTCACGCAGTGATGCTTACCTGCAAAGGAGGATGGGAAGGAAGCAAGTGTCCAGCCTTTTCCAGTCTCTTTTGTGCAGAGTGGACAAGGAAGATACATGTGGCTAAGTTATTTAACCAGTAGTTTCTGCCACAATGTGAAAGAATGTGATATATCTGAAGCATCTTTAACCATGTAGTTACAAGTTCTGTGATCACAAAAACATTTAATTGGTCAGTTTATTGGAGTTAATAAGGTAGAAGTAGGTCACATGTTGGAGGCTGGGAAATTCTTGCACTATTGCTCAGGAGTTTTGAAGACTCTCACCAGGGACATAATAGGCTGAATATTGGGGGCTTAGCTCTTCCTGCTAGAGTTGTAAAAGGGCAGAACATTTTTTCATAACTTAGGGCTGAACAACATCTTCCAAAATTCGCTTCTAGGACTTTCCTTCAGACTGGGCAGCAATTTCAGCTAAACTCTATGCATTTTAAAGCTTTATATTAATTATAGCTTAGGTACTATGGATAACACTGACTGTATTTGTGAAGCCCAGTGCAAAATAAAAACATGGGATCTCTTGTTTAAAAATTATTAAGTATTTAAAGATAGCAAAAACAAAGTACTAAACCAAACGTGGGATGCTGTGCAACTGTAGAGATTGCACATCCATGGAGCTGGGGTGGCAGAGGGCGGCTAGTTCATAGGTGAAGTCTTGACTTGCAGGAGTGACAAATTCCAGTGCTTGGTTACAAGTGTGGGGTCTGCTCCTGAAATGTATGGCATGGTGGTTAATAGTTGATGCTTTCAAACAGGCCCACTCTGTATTCTAATTCTAATTCTGCTACTTAATTGTGCAATGATTTTAGAGATTTGTTTAGTCTTTCAACAATTTTATTTCCTGGCTGGGTACAAAGGCTCATACCTGTAATTCCAGCACTGTGGAGGCCAAGGCAGGGGGAATCACTCGAGGCCAGGAGTTTCAGACCAGCCAAGGCAACATAGTGAGATCGCAGGTCTACAAAAAATAATTAAAAATTAGCTGGGTGTGGTGGCACACACCTGTAGTTCTTAGCTACTCAGGAGGCTGAGGTGGGAGGATCACTTGAACCCAGGAGTTTGAGGCTGCAGTGAGCTATGATTATGCCACTTCTGTCTAGACTGGGTGACAGACCAAGACCCTGTCTCTTAAAAAATATTCCATTTCCTCTGTTTTAAAATGATGACACTAATATCTCCATCGTATATTATTAAGAAGAGTAAATTAAATGGTAGACACTTTGTTTTTTTATCATAGCACACCCCTAGTAGATACTATACTGCACCCTCAAGGAGGGGTTGCTGTGAACTTGAATTTTGCTGATTCAAAAACTCATTTTACCATGTTAGACAGGGACAGATTCTCATACACTAAATTCACAAGAGGGTAATTTATGAATTGAAATGTTCATTTATTCGTATGTAAGGAGTTGTCTTGACTTTGGAAATATTGTTTAGATTAGTAGGTTGCTGTCTGAATACAGAATCATTATTTTCCTCAGATGCATGTGTCCTGAGGTTTCCAAGGCCAAATGAGATGAAAGCCTTTGGATTTAGTCGAGGTGCTTTTTCTTTTTGCAGGACTTGTCAGAGCCTTAGGCATGTTTATGGTTATTGGAATTCCCAAGAGGATTTCCAGACTTAAGACTGTGTTCTAGGATCAATGTGGTGATTAAATTTAATTAGCATTTAATATAAACAGGATAGCGTTTTGCATATGGACACATGTATGTGTAAAGTACCATTAGCCTACCCAGTAGGTAAATGTAGACAGCATTTGCAGCATCCTTAGCAAGAATCTAACTGCAACGGTAGTTACTCAGACATTTTGAATGTCACCATTATAATCGAGACCATAGATTTTGTTAATTTGCACAAGGAAAATTAGAAATGCTTTTTTATTGTTCAAATGGATGATGGCTAATTATCTTGTAGGCTAGAATAATTGCAGAGCGCTCCCTGCCCCTATTTTTACAAACAAAGTGTGTAAATCAGAAAAGCCTAATCTCTTTATTCAAAGTCCTGCATTCCCACTTCATGGAAGGCTTTATCACTTGACATGGTCCAGCCACCAGAGTCATGGTCTCTGTCTTAGGCAAGTGAACATTTTCTGCAGGGGTTTATGCAAGATCCCAAAGACAATGTGGGACTTCCCTGAGCTTACAAGAATGTATATGCATTACTGTTTTTTTGTGCTTAATGGCTGTTAAATATATGTGCATGTGCTAGAATTTTGATCCGAGACATGCTTGCATTATGACTTCTTATCTGGCAGGAGGATTGAGATGTGGAGGGTACATCTGAAGGCTGAAAATGTTTAGGAAAACAACCCAACCGTTTTACACAAGCAAATGGACTTATGGAATTCACCATGGAATGCTTTCTTTGTGTTACAACCCATGGAGCTAGTGTTCTCAGGAACACACTTTGGGAAAGTGTGGCGGTAACACACAAGCAGGGAGTTTATGTCTTAGGAGCTATTTTCTTCAGTCTAGAGTAGACTGGAACAGTTGATCTAGTTCTTTGCTGTTTGGGTTTTCTTTTTCTTTCTAATCTGTGATGTGATGCATAAGGAAAGTCTTAGGCATCAAAGTGAAATCTCATCTGATTTTTGCACATAAGGAGCTACTTTTATTGAAAGGAGTAAACTTGAAGAAGGTTGGAAAAATCAAAGACGCAGTCGCTCTACCTGTGCTCTGATAATATATCTGTATGAAGAATGAAGCACTTAAGCACTTAGACATCAGCTAGGTGTTGCTATGTGTTTAAATGCTTCTTATAGAGTGACGTTTAGATAACTGCCTAAAAATTTCACTTTCAAAGGTATGATGCTGTAAGACTCATCCTAAGATAGAAAGTCCTTTGTGGTTAAAAAAAAAAAAAAAAATCACTGCTTTTCTGTGACTAGCACACATTGAGTAATCAAATGGAGAACTGCATGGAATAAATACAGTAGTTGACTTCTGCTAAAAACATTTTGAAAAGAGGAAGTGGGGGCCTTTCTGCTCTTTGACATACAAAGCACATTGCTTTCTAATGGATTCCACAGCAAAAGCAAAATCCAAACAAAGCAGCATCTTTTTTCTCTAACCTACATGCAATGTAAGTGAGATTCCAAGTATGCAAATGGTGGGAGGAAAGAAATGCATTTTCACTACCCCAATTATTGCATATGGTTGAGAATATGAATAGTAATTGCCCCTGAATTGGAGGATTAATGTGCACTACTTTTTTCTTCTTTTTAAATATTCGAGTCAGTCTGATTTTTATTTACTATTTCTTTGATTCTTTTTCTGTAAAAAGTTATGTGGCCTTTGGAGTAAAATATAAGCTCCCTCTATCCAGGCCAGTTGTCTCTTTCTATATGTCAGTAAGACTGTCTCATGTCTGTCATAAGCTCAGTTTTTAAAGTAAGCTATGATTTCATTTATTCTTTTAGTCCAAGTGTGAGTAAAATTGGTGCCATTTTACAGCAATTTCTGCAAAGTGGGCACTCCAGACCCCCAGTTTTGAATTCTGAGGCTACAGACGTGGACACCCAGCCCTCCCCCAACACCATCCTTTTGACTGAGCCCCTTACGATGAGTTAGTGTGTAAGTCTAACTCCCCCACTTCACTGTTAGACAGATACTTTGTCTTACTTGTCTTTGTGTCTCCCTCCACTCCTCCCCAGGACCTGAGGCTGTGTTCCATCCCAAGTAGACACTAGATGTTTGTTGACTACTTCAGTACTTCTGGAGGGACTGTTTAGGGCACTGTTGAAAGAGTAGGGAAAATCACTTTGGAGCCACATGTGAGAAAGGAGGCTTGATTCTACAGGCTGGAATGAAGTAAAGTGGGAGGACAAAGGATGTTTGAAGAACAGCGGGGAGAGGACACTAGGGAAAAAAATGCAGAGGACAATTCTGTGGTCAGTCTTTGGAGTTCAATTTATCAAGACTGTCTGTCAACCTTAAGGCATCAACAGTGATACCATCTCAAAAATCTTAGATTGCACTGTCTACTACAGTTGTCAGTAGCCACAATGTGGCAATTTAAATTAATTAAAATTAAACAAAATAAAAAATTCATTTTCTGAGTCATACTAGCTGCATCCCAAGTGCTCAGTAGCCATGTGTGTCTAGTGACTGCTGTATAGAATAGCACAGATGTAGAACATTTCCATCATCTCAGAAAGCTCTGCTGAACAACACTGCTCTCAGGGATGATTACATCTCCATTTTGTTTCACCCCTTGTTTATTTATTCTACAAATAGTAACTGAGTACCTACTTTGTTCCTGTTACTGTACTGAGAAGCAGCTGAAATGCTTAAAAACATAGACTCTAGAGCAACCTGGGTTAACAGCTCACTCACTGTGTGACGTTGGGATGGGTCACCCATCCTCCCAGTGCTCTAGTTTAATCAGCTGTTAAATGAAGATAATAAAATTATCTACCTCATAGGGCTGTTGTGAAGATTAAATTAGTGTGGTTTTTTGCATGCATATGCACATGTGTGAATATATAAATGTATATACATGTGTATATATGTATATATTTGTATAAATAACTGTATGCATATACATATATATTCATATGTATTTTAGAACATTTCTGGCATGTACTTAGTGCTTGGTAAGTGGGAGCTCTTATTATTTGTGTTTATTTCAGGGTTCTTAACAAAACAACTATGAGGTTCTTGCTGTCCTGGAGTTTGCCATCTAGTAGGAGCAGCAGAGAATAAATCTTTAAACAAATTAATAATTACAAACCATGTCAAGAATTGCAAAGGAAATGAATGGGCTGAAACAACAGAGAATAACAGAGGAGAAGCCACCTAGAAAGCATCTTAGAGGAGGTGACATTTAAGCTAAAACAAGAAGAGAAGAGAAGGAATACCAGCCATGCAAAGGGAGGAGGAGAGTGTTCCAGGCAAAGGAAAGAAGGCCAGCAAAGAGGACCATGTAGCTATAATACAGAGGTCAAGGGAGGGGCTTCAGATGAGATTGGAAGGAGAGGTAAAGAGCAGCCATTTCCTACAGGGCTGAAGCCAGGGTTAAAGCATACGTGCAGGGGAAATACACATACAGTGATCACTCGGGGTTGTGTGAGGCACAGATTGGAGGGGCAGTGAGAGTGAAAGCAGAGAGCCCATTAGAAGTCTATTTTAATAGATCAAGTGAAGGGGAATGATTCAGAGTCAGTAGTCATGGAACTGGAGAGAAATGAGCAGTTTCTAGACCTGTTTGAGAGACCCAATGACACTTTCTGATGGATTACATGTGGTTGACAAGAGGGAGGCATTGAGGCTGATGCTCAGGTTTCTGAGTTGGTTAACTGGGTAGATGGTGGTTTCAGTTACTGAGATAAAGAGGGCCTGAAGAGAACATTTTTGAGGAAGAAAAACCAAAACTACTTGATGACAAGTAGTCTTCTAGATATGGAAGTCTGGTGTCCAGGTTAAAGGCTAGGCTAGAGACAGGCACATGGGCATCATGAGCTCATAGATGACATTTAAAAGATAGGACAGAAGACCAACTTCTGGCATGATGGAAGGGGGAGACCTGCAGACTTTCTCCTCAGTTAAGTAACCATTTAATTAAAGAAAATTATAGTTTTAAAAAATCATTTAAAGCTTCTGGAAATTTTCCTAGGGTCATACAATAATTGGAGAAATATTCACTCAAGTATATTTACTAAATCTCAATAAGAACAGTGATTGTCTGTGACATTTGAGACATGACACTTCTCTGCCAGGTCCATCTTATGGAATCATCTGGGAAGGAGTGGACTGCTAACGTTTTCCATCCTTCCCCACAAGTTCCACATTGCAGAAGCTCTCAAGAGAGGACTGGTGCTCCTTCCACCTAGCCCCCACTTTAAGGACAGAAGTTACAGACCAAACGTTGCAGGCCAAGAATTTTGCACTCCAATCATTCTTGATCAACTTGCTGGTAGGACAAGAGTCCCATATTAGGAGGGTCAAGCTAGAAAAACTACAGACCACTACCATTTCCTAATGTCTGCTCATAGAGTAGGTTTGTCACTCTAGCAGTAGGCTTCTCTTCCCACCCTGAGCTCTTGAGCATTGGCATAGAGTTTTAGCCCAGGGGGAAAAGCAGGTTACTGTAGCTCTGCCTGAGGGGACTGACTTCATTTGGAGCACAGCATGGAGAATTTCATGTCTAGAGTGCTGTCAAAAACAGGGAAATCTTGGTAGAGAGCAATTAAGAGGGTGCTCATAGCTCCATAATACAAGCACAACAACAGAGCAATTAGAAGTTTAATAGACTAATTTATGGGAAGAAACAAGTAGGAAGAGTCCTCCTGGGAGCAGTCAGCCTTGAGGGTTGCAAAGGCTGTACATAAGTGATTGGTTGTACCTACTTGGCAGCGTCAGAATAGGAAATAAGGCAAATCTGAAAAATTTCCCATGCTGCACACAGATCCATCACACACACACACACAAAACCCAAACAAAACAAAAACGCAAGCCGGCACTGACACTATGGCTTAAAGATAACCTCCAACTCAACACTGGCTGAATAGTAACCTACTCTAACCCAGAAGCAACTCCCAAGAGCTATGTTTAAAAATAAAACCATATGTATCCCTAACAATCCGGAAGATTGTCTGTATGCCCAAAGTTGCACCCTCCTAGGAGTGAATGGAGCAGGGAAAACAAAGCAACTAGTTCCTGGGTAGACAGGAAGCAAAAGTGTAAACTTCTTCACCTGTCAGAGCAGCCTCCAAGTTACTTATACATCCAGGGGTAAAGGGCAAAAATTTAATTGCTAAGGGGGTAACTTTTGATCAATAAGTGGCTTACATGCCAATTCATGAATGATCCTAAATCACTCAGCAAAAAGTTTTTTAAAAAGTAAATAATATGAGGAAGGACATCAGAGGCTGCACACTAGAGGGAAAAATACTTCACAGGATTAGTTAACTAAGTCGTTAAACAAATAAATCAATGACATGGAAAATAGCAGCAATATAAACCCCTTAGGTGCAGAGGGGTGGGGGATGGACAGGAGCTGGAATCAATATCCAGAGTTGCTGCAATGTATTATCTAATATGTCCAGTTTTCAACAAAAAATGTATAAGACATTTAATGAAGGAGAAAAGTGTGACTCATGTTAAAAGAAAAAAAAAGCAGTCAAAAGTAACTGTTTTAAAGAAACTTAGATGTTGGAATTAACAGACAAAAACTTCAAAGCAGCCACTATAAATATGTTCACAGAACTATAGGAGAACATGTTTAAAGAATTAAAGGAAGGTATGAGGACAATGTCTTACCCAATAAAGAATATCAATAAAGAGACAGAACTTATTTTTTTAAAAAAGAGCAAAATAAAATTCTGGAGTTAAGTATAACAAAATTTAAAAAAACACTACATGGGCTCAGAAGTATATTTTAGCTGGCAGAAGAAAGAATCAGCAAATTGAACATAATACAGATTACCCAACATAAAAAAAAAACAGAAAAAATAATAAAATGAGCATGATATCAGAGAAATGTGGTACACAATTAAACACATCAACATACAAGTAATAGAAGTACCAGAAGAAAAGCAGAGAGGATAGAAAACCCCAAAAAAATAATGACTGAAAACTTCCCACATTTGATGAAAAAAAAAATTACTTATCCAAGAAACTCGACAAATTCCAATTTTAATAAATACAAATAGACCACACTCAGACATATAATACTAAAATATGTGAAACTCAAAGAGAAAAAGAATGTCTTGCAAGTAATAAAAGGCAAATCACTCATCACAAGCAAAAAAAAACCTCCAATGGGATAGATGGCTGACTTATAGGCCAGACGTTGCAGACCAAGAATTTTGCACTCCAATCATTCTTGATCAACTTGCTGGTAGGACAAGAGTCCCATATTAGGAGGGTCAAGCTAGAAAAACTACAGACCACTACCATTTCCTAATGTCTGCTCATAGAGTAGGTTTGTTACTCTAGCAGTAGGCTTCTCTTCCCACCCTGAGCTCTTGAGCAGTGGCATAGAGTTTTAGCCCAGGGGGAAAAGCAGGTTACTGTAGCTCTGCCTGAGGGGACTGACTTCATTTGGAGCACGGCATGGAGAATTTCATGTCTAGAGTGTTGTCAAAAACAGGGAAATCTTGGTAGAGAGCAATTAAGAGGCCAGAAGGCAATAAAATGATATATTTAAAATGCTGAAGGGAAAAAAAACTGTCAACCAAGAATCAGCCAAATTATATTTTAAAATGAAAGGCAAAATACACACTTTCCTACATAAACAAAATCTGAGGGAATTTGTTGTTAGAAGACCTGCCTTACAAGAAATGCTACAAGAATTTTCGTAGGCTGAAACACAAGTGACATCAGTCAATAATTTGAATCCACACAAAAAACCAAGGAACCAGCAGTAAAGGTGTAAAAGACAATGTAGAGGGATGTCATTGTGTAGGTGGCAAAGTAGGAAGCTCCAAAAATCAGCCCCTTCACTGGGGGGGGGGGGGGCGAGGAGGAACACCTATTGAGAAAGAGTTAATTGTCCGAATTAACTATTTTTAAAATCTAGAGCCAGGTTAAACACTTGCACTGTCCAGGGGAGTGCTTGAAGAAGTAATATATTTTGGTAAAGTTTAGCAGTTGATGGAGCAGCTACCATCTCTTGTTCCCTGGGGCAAATGGTATCCATGTGGATGACAGTTCGTGTTCCTGGTGCGGCTTCTATTTCCAGGTTGGAGATAAGAACTATGTGCTTCAAAGATCAGGGTTGCAATTTTTTTTAA